TACATGATAGTTCTAGAACCGTTGCGTCACGGTGGTCATGTGACTCGCTGACGCAACAATAGTATTTCCAGTAGCATAATTATCTAAAAATATGTAAGTTACTGAGAAGCTTAGTTACTTAAGTTAAAATTAAGTGTAGTGAGTATAAATAACAAAGTAATAAAATCAATTTTGATAAATAACTTAATTTGAAAACTTGTTTTCTAAATTCTAGTCTACTTACTCGTATATCAACTTTCAAAAACATTTTTTTGCACATGAAATATTATTTTCTTAGGTGTACTTATATCATGCGGCCCTGTTTCTCACGAGAGTCAAATAACATAACTAAAGAATACTTGTTAGTTCTTTCTAAAGTCATAAATATAAAAGGTAAAAAAATATTGTTTCATTAATTATGCAAATTTAGCTTGTTTCTGTTGTTGCCATCTCGAAAACTACTATGCAATCATTAACTTTAAGTGCATGCATGATGTTTTTTAATATTTTGAGCAAAAAATATATATACATAATTGGTATTTTTGATATCAAATCTTTTTTTTTAATAAACAGATTGTGAGAATTGGAACATCAGGGATTTCAAAATAGGAGAACTGGAAAATAGGTAAGAAAAATAACTTCCCTGGACATTCCCTGTAAAATTTACCTATTATATTAAATATTTATTTGTGATATCAAATATATAAATAATAGCCATAGTACTGTAGTATCTAACATATTTTGTTCTTGTACTAATAAACATAAACTATAAGAAAATGAGAGAAAGTTAACTTCATTTTAAGGGCATTTATAGGGTTTTTATTTAACTTACCCTCAAATTACTGACTTGTTTTTATATTATTTACTACCAGCAGAGTCCACATACTTCATCAAATCAAGTAATTGACTGTTACAACAGTCAGTTCTAAAGAACTGATCCCAGTAGTGATTAATAGGATTATTTTCAATATTGATTGTATTTTTTGTCTACATTTTTATAATTCATACTATTAGGAACCAAAAAAGTAATGAAGTGACAAGCAATTTGGTGCATAAATATATACAAAAAAAGCTGATGGAGTTTATTTACAGTTCATTGGGAATTTTTGGGTGAGATATAGTTTAGCTTTGCAAAGACTTGGGTCTTTGTCAGAAAATATTTTCTATCCTTGTTGCAGTTATCTGTATGTTCAAGTCATCAACAATTTTTACAGTTTTGCAAGAATATAATAATTGGGTTGTTCCATCATCTACTCAAGGATATTCTCTATATGTACCAGGTACCTCTGCTTCACAATAGACTTGGTATAATATTGTTAGATAAACAAATAAGTAAATTTGCAGCCTGATAAGGTCAAGTAATTAAGTTATATAGATGTAAACTTTAGTTAGTAAGTGATCTATCTCATCCAACTTTTAATCAAACTTCTTTCTCAAAAAGTATTTGCTCTGGAGTCTTGTGTTGCCATTTCATAGGAAATTGAATGAAAATTAAAAAAAATATATATACATATATATATAAAATAAATTTGGAAATAAATTCAATTACCTTTAACAACATTTTTGGCTTTTGGGTATAATCCTAAAAATAAAAATGTTAAAAACTTCCATGTAAAGGTTAAACTTTCTACTTCTTTTTTTATCCACAAAGATACAGAAGGTAATATTTTTTATTCATTGTCAAAATAATTGAATATAGTCTACCCCTTCTATCCCAGAGAAATTTGAATAGTATTCAGATGACATAGCTATAGAACAAACATTTTATTTTAATTGGGTATTATGTTCAAGACATTATCATAGTCACAGAGAGTGATTTTTTTTTGATGAAAACTACAATAATCATGCTACTTTCTCTGGCTCAAAGGTCTCTCAGACTTTTTGAAATCTTGATCCCAGAAATTGCAATCTATTTTGAAAAACAAACTGAGATTACGACTTGAACGATCTGTAGCATGTTTTCATTGACTAATCAGAATTTTCTCCTATTTTTATGGCCAGTGTTACTGATGATGATTTATCTACATGGTTCGTTTAATTAACTATTCACATAGATACAAGAATTGAAACTTCCTCTTCTCTGAGAAATAAGTATCTTCATCAGCTTTGGGCTTATATGCATTATGGCAAGAGATTTTTATAGGGTGTGTGATGTACTGATGTAGAGATAGGAAGTGAATTGAATCTGTGTAGGCTTTATGCATCCTGAGTAGTCTTTGCTCTTGGTTTTCAGCAGTTTTTCATGTCACTTATTCAGAGACAAAGATGATGGTTATGCTGGAAAAAGCTACTTTTTGCGAATAAAAACATTTTTGGGGGTTAAAATCTTACTATGCTTCGTTTTTCTCCTTTTATTTGATTTTATGTTTGTCCTAAATTGTTAGAAGGGTTTGAACATCATTTGTAACTTAGACCTACAACAAGTTATGACAGTGTACAAGTGTTCAAGCATGTAGAAAAGTTAAGGGGTGAAACAAAGTAATTTGTTCTTATCACGTGGACTTAACATTGAAATATGCTCACCAGGTATTTTAAATGAACCTGTCAGTGAAAGAACAACAATACAACAACAGGGGTATTATAGAAATGATGAGTTAGTCCCATTATTTGATTTGACAAGAGTTGAAACTGGGTGCTACTCCCTGGTGCCTTCACTTTGTCTTATCACTTCAAAATTAGGAAAAGCCAGTACAGATAGCCCTCATTTAGCTATGTGAAATTCAACAAGCTAAACATTTTAATGAATTAAGTAAAAAAAAAAAATTTGCTTAAAGTACAATTTACGTAGAAGTAAAGTTGTACAATTGTGATAAAATATTTTTGATCAGTATTTAACTTGTGTGAAATCAGTAGTTGATCAGGTAATTTTAAATACCATGTCAGAAGTTGCAAGATAATATATAACTTGAATTCATCAGTGTACAAATTGTAGAGGGTGTTCATTTTGTGAACCAAATGAGTACTCATGATAAACTAAGCATCACAGTAATATGAGAGTTGTCTATATGTAAGAGTATTGCCAACTTACTATTTTATATGGTTAGCTCATATATTTGCCCCCTGACTTTCCTTGTAAATCAGATTGAAGTGTGTAAATGAAGTGTTTGATAGGTCTGATATTTGTTGTTTTATAAATGATGTCTGTTTGAAAATGGTAGACGTAAATGAATGCCAGTACTGTTTGAAAATAAAAATGTACACTTAATTTATCACAATTTGTATTTTTATAGGTCTGTAAGAGTAAGCTTCAACTCATATCCAGTGGCCTGTTCCATTGAAAAATATAATGTTTCTCTGTTTTTGGTACAAGATGAAGCATGCAATACTTCTGCAATAAATGCTCTAAACCTAGTTTATTCTTCAACAAGCAACCAGGTAAAAATTTGTCTTGTATAAAACTTTTAAACAAAAATCACCTAAAATAATTGCTTACCTATTATAACTTGGTGATGGTCAGTCTTATAACCAGAACTAGAGTAGCACGGTTTATTTTGAATTTATACGTATTTCCCACCATTGTTTGGTTTTCCAAGATATTTAATATTTTTGTGTTCTTTACTATGTACTTCTGTTTTTACTATTTTCATTTATATATTTCAAAGTGTTATTTATTTTTTTACAGTTATTTTGCATGCTTTAACTTTTTATGGTGCTTTGGATAACCTCACCATAAAGGCTGCTTGTGTAATTTAGTATAAATATTTCTATATTTGTAATTTTATTTTCATGCTATTCTTCATTACTAAACTGCAAAAAAGAAATAATTTCATAAAGTGGCATTTTTATTTTTCTGTTTAAATGTCAAATGTAGTTTGTTGATCTCTGCCTGTGAAAAAGATATTTTCCTAAAACTTTACTTAAAAACAACTGAAAATAGATTTACACAAGGCTGATCATTCTCATTCTAGAACACTTAATATGATCACTAAACACATTCTTAATCTGTATATGTAGCATACAAAGTACACTTTTTGTGAACACTGGAAATTAATGAATGCTCTGAGATTGGGAGGTTGTGTATGTGTTTCGTATGTTATTGTCTAGATCAGATGAGCATTCTTGTGCTACATGTGTAAGAACAGAAAGAAACACTGTAACAGAACTGTATAAAACTTAACTCAGACCCTGGGGAGAGGCATCCATAAGTTTGTTTCATTTATGACCATCCTTTTGTCAAAATTATAAAACGTAATATAGAAGCACTTTTTTTCTGACACTGTACCTTGTAGTGTTATAATATTGGGGTAATTTTCAGTTTTTAGCTACTGTTTATTTCCAGTTACATATTTTATGAACCTTAACAAATATCTCAGGTTGTAAAATAATTATAAAATGACATTTTACCATTAACTCTTTCAGAATGTGATCTTATAAAATGTATGAAGCTGTGAGAAAGTGTACTGTAATTTTGATGTTTTTAAAGTACTAAAAACATTAAATGCTTTAGTGTCAAACTTGTCAAAGTTCATCATGTTTATGATATTATATTTTTCCCCAGACTACCTTCACGTATGAAAACCTGATGCTTGGTAAATATTGTGCTAGAGTAAGTGAATTTCACTTGGTTATACAGCAAACATTATAGTGTCAGATATGCTTTTTTTAATATTTGAAAACTCTTGAATAAATACTACATCTGATTTAAAATTGACAGTAGTTGATTTGTGAAAGGCTTAACTGAAGAATTACTGGTAGGGTGATGTTTGACTTATTTATAGAACAAAAGGTAATGAAATAATAGATGATAAAAAGACATTGGGCACTGGTCAAACATACCCTTGCTAAAAACATGTTCAAACCTTTATTAAAAATGCAAAAAAATGTTCTTATATAAGTTTAAAAGATTTAGTTTTACCGATCAAAGACGCTCTGAAAGAATCTTAAATGTATATTTTGGATTATGTTGATACATATTGACTGCTTTAGGTAACAGATTAACAGAGTTGTTTGATACAATTTGTGGGATTTATTTATGATAATAAAATGGGGATATTGAAATAAAAGTAAACGGAGACTGATACACAGTTTCTTCACCATAAAATAAAACACTTTATTAAGAAGCAAAACATGGCACGTGAAGTTATTGCAGAACCTTGCATTCTTAGTTTTCCTTTTTATATTTAGGAACCAACTGACAGAAAAAATTTGTAGGTGTTCAACACCTGCTTGGATTTTTTATGAAATTTTGTTACATGAAAATTAACTCAGTGGAAGATATGCCTAATCACTTTTTTCTTTAATAAAAAAAATGCACACTGACTATTTCATACTTGTGATCACCAACAAAGGCAAGGGGTCCATGGGTGCATTCATACCTTGAACATATTCAAGCTCGGACTTGTGTGAAGAAGACTGAGTCAGAAAGCCACAAAAACTAAAAGGGCATAGCCATAAGAAAAACGAGTACAAGATGTAAAGACATAGTGTCTTTTCTAGTATTGTGGCACCTGGGCAGATTGATACAAGCTAAAGATAGTATTCTGTAAAATTCAGTAACATAAAAAAGTGTGGCTTCTTTCCATATTTCCATGTCACCTATTTAGATAATCAGTCTCCTAATTAAAAAAATTAAAATCATTGTTTTCTATGCATCTATCTCTACATATGTTCAGAATTTTAAATGTCATGAAAAAATAATTAAAAGATTTATATCCAGTGTGTGTGTTGGGCATATACAAAGACACAACTGCATTATTCCTGACTTTTAGTAACTGCCTGAAAACAGAACTTAGAGTAATTAACAGTTGGATACATCGTTGATGTAGGATATCTAACAAACAACATCTATTGAAAATTTGGAATATTACATGAATGTATATGTATAAAAATATTTAAATTTTCTATGTCATGAAAGGGTTAAGTCATTACACTATACTATTATGATACATAATTCATGCAATAATCTTGTATCAGTCAAGTTATACGCACGTATTAAGTTACTCTACCAGTTTTTGTATAATGAATAATATATGTACACTGTATATATTAGTCAACTCAGTTATGAAAAGCTGTTTTGATTTCTTTACAGATCTCTCGCTATTCTTCATGTAATACTAGATGGTGCACCAGTGTTTATATGCCTTTCACTGTAACTGGAGGTGAGTTTTATGGATATATGTGGGTTTATAGGGTTAAAATGTAAGATATGAAACAAGGGCTAGTTATTTACTTTTTTTTTATTTCACAGGCACAGATTTCCAAGTTCACTCTCAAAAATTGCATCATACAGGTAAATTCATGCATAGAAATTTTGGTTCATGTACATGAAAAATAGTAAAAAAAATGCCTTGATTTTAGTGCTCTCATTTTGTTACTGACTTTAGAATAATGGCTGATATCAAACACATATATATAGTTTGAGAACAAATTACAAATTTGCTTGACCCATCTAAACAATAGCTGAGCTCTTGTAAACCATGCAGTTTTTGTCTGTACAGAAACCTCAGTCACACAACTTATCAATGAAATAAGAATTCTATCATATTGATTTGCATATTCATGGATGAGCTGTCAAACAGATGACCTGTTAATTGGTAATGTCTGATTAGTCTGGTCCTCATACCTACACAGTCTGCAATCAAAAGAAACACAACTTTAATCGAATTATCAAGCAGCTTGTTTGTAAAGCAGTCAATAAATGATCAAGAGCTTTTCTTTATTGCACCTGATTGTTGAATGAAAGGATTGCTACTTGGAATTTTAATTATTATATAATGACCACATACAACAATTTATTCATTTTTTATTCTCTCATCATAATGTCACAAATATCAACACACATAAATGTATACATATTCAGCACTCAACAGATCTAAAACTAACAGTGTATCACTATTATATGGAGGCAAGGCATAATTATTACAAGACACATAAATGGTATGACTAATTTTGTTATTCTAATAATTTACCATAGAATTTGACACCCAAGGCTATTTCGCTCCAATTCTAAACTCCTGCAGAGAATCCTGATTATCAGAAAAGCATGAACATGCAACAACACACCTTCACAAGCTCTTAGTTCATACATGTTCTTAAATACACTTTTAAATATCCAAAGGTAGTTTACATTTACTTGAGCCAATACAGTGTTTATACAACTTAAGTGTTATTAAAAGAGCTTTTTTTTAATGCTTTTTCTTTTGTCTAGTCACAGTGAATTATAGAGATAGTTTATTTATGACTAGGCTAACATGAAGATTTTCATTGTCATAAAAGAATTAATCTAATCACTAAAGTTAATCACTAGATAGTATGGTATGTTCAGGTAAAAACTGATTATTCTTATAGCATCTTCTGAATAACATAAGATCCAACAAGATATCTAGTACAGAGTAATACTAAGATTCTGAATAACCATGCTTATGAGAATGAAATAAAGAGACAAAACACGTGTGTTTGTACTTAGACAATGGACTATCACTTTTACTAGATTGGAACTACTTTCTCTCCAAAAATTTATAGCCCAATATCATCTGCTAGATTAGTTGAACTTAACGCTTCTTACTTCACAGGTAAAATATTTACTAAGCACTACTTATGTGACTGATCATTCTCATTCAAACATAGTAATCTACCTTTAAAGGACATTGCTGTGTATATTCTTGGGCAAAACAGATTGTTATCTTTAGAGACTAACAAAGAAACTAAGGCAGCTAGAGTTAAATCAAACTAACAAATATCTTGACCATGTGTTATGTGAAAACCACAGATATCCAGAATAACTAATAAATTTAGAGTAATACCATATTAATATAAAAATTCAGAAAATGTGTTGTATTTTTATATGCTGCAGTGGTATGGTTAACCATTGAGGGGTGCATGGGCTGTACTAATTAATATGTAAATTCACTGAAAACTATTCAAAACACAGTTAGATGTTTTCAAAAATTAGCCTAATGGAAAAGTTGCAATTTAGGTTGTACATTAAGTGTTTTAAAATGAATCATTCATTACTTCTGTGTTTGAAAGTTTTGAGTCAAAACACTTTTTTGCTAATAATAATGTACAGTTTCACGTAACTCATGTGTGTGTGTCTTTATATATATATATATATATTTGACTAACAAGGTACTAATAATAATGTACAGTTTCAGGTAACTCGTGTGTGTGTGTCTTTATATATATATATTTGACTAACAAGGTATGCACACAAAAAATAGATATGGATAAATACATTTTTTCTATATTTGTGAACTAAGCCCACTTTTTTTGTGGGGAGTGCAGACTCTATCTTGTATTCCTGATTTTTATCTTGATACTTCAATTCTTATTTTTAGATCAAATAACAAGATGATAAATTACCTTTCAAGTAATCAAGAGTGAGAGTCTAAAGAAGAGAAAATTGTTATAATCACTGAGCTTTGTTTGAATCCAAAATAACAGATAATATTTCTTCAAAAAAATGTAAAGTAACAAGGTTATTAATAAACTTGTACAAAACAGTTTGAAAGACTAGACGTACATTTTAGAGGAAAAACTAGGATTGCTGCCATCAGTGACCTATAAATTTGTTTGAATTCAATTATAATTATATAATTATAATATATTCAACACCAGATAGTTTTTCTTGCTAAATATTTTATGTATTTACTTATCACAGGGTGAAGCTATTTGATTTTTGTTATTGTTGGTATTTTATACCTTTGCTATCAGGAAACTTATTGAAAATAGTCTGAAATATGTTTATACTGAATGGTTTAATTTCTATTTTATTTTTCTGATGGACTCAAGTGGTTAGCTTATTGGATTGGAGATTCGAGACATGTTACTACAAAACATGCTTTAGGCTTTTGCTGTTAGTGCATTATAAATAACATTTAGTCCTTCTACAGAGGGTTGAGTACATTATATTAAAACTATTTTCAGTATGCAAATCAGCAAGTCATGTGACAACAACAGTCAATTTAAAGTGACAGTAGAATGATCCGTATCAGAACAACATTTTTTTTGTAATGTGATCCCACCAAAAACTGATTGCTTTTGGGAAGTATATGTAATAGCTTTTTCTGAGGCAAAATATTCATACACGCAACATATTAACATGTGTTCAGACCAGAAGTTTCAAATTTTCAAGATAATGATATCTCTTACACTTAACTGTATTGGAAAACAATGGAATATGGATCAATTTGGGATACCAGGACCATCCAAAAACAGTCTAACAACAACCTCTACCAAGCTGCAGTAAACAGAGTGTGGTATCCATATGGCCAAAGCAACAATACACAGCATAATGAATAAAGGATCTCTTGAAAAGTAAAACAAGTTGCTTCCACAATATATCCTGGAAAGGAAGGCCAATCATAGAAAACTGCATGAATGGTAGCTAACTGGGGGGAAAATGGCAGTATATGGTGATAATTGACTAAGAGTGTGTGTACATAACTGTCACAAGTATTGTGCCATTTTCTATCAGTCAATGGGTGAAAAAAAATTAAAAAATGTGGTACATGACATGTTGCACAGCTTTATTGAAGGAATCCTTGATTATCACTTGATACTGTCCAAGGGCAAGTTAGCAAACAGGAGAGTGAATACAAAGGTCAAGACCAGAGACTTGGATCATTTGTACCACACAAAAATACTGGCTTTGTCTGGAACTGAAACCAACAGGATATTGGTTCATTGAGATAAGGCTAAAATACCCTAAACAGATATTCATGCTATTTCATACTGTTCAAATTGCTGGATGCAGTGCATATGGATTTCTATGCAATCAGACTGTTGAAAAAGGTGCTGGGAAAGCATAATTCTCGTACACTAAATGGCTTATGGAAAGTGGACAGGTAGGACTAAGTTGACTTAGAGTTATTCATATTTTATTATAGAAGGATCATTATTCTTCACTGTAATTTTTTTCAGAAAAAATAGAAGGTTGTAACAATGAATGGACTGCTAAAGTTTCATCGAAACAGATCAAGTAAGAATATTTTTCTCTTTTTCAATAAGGAAAGAAAATACTGCTTGTTTTTAGGTTCATTTTTATACTTAATATTTGAAAAAAAAAATGAATTACTTTAACTTATTTATGTAATATATTATAT